ATCGTGTTGTGATAAATTTCAGCTACATACAATCCGTTGCGACATTTTAGAGTCAGCTACGAGTTTTTATGCTTTGAACACCTATAACTCAATTCATTTCTGATCTTTGTAAAACGAAGAACAGTGGCGCAATCAAGGAGATTTCCGCCTTCACTTCTTTGTCAGCTCTGCTATTTAAAAAAGCACCCTGTTGTGATTTTATTGTGACATTTTTTTGGGTGACACAAAAAACCACCCTTCGACGCAAGACTTTGGTATGCTTCTAAAACACATGTTTTCGCCAAGGGTATCAGGAAATAGCCATTCGGCGCCGATTGGCATCACCTCTGTAATGCGCCATGCATAGGGCTCTCACGCAGGTGTTGGGAAGGTGCAACTTCTAGATAGGGCTTCCTCCGTGCAAGTAGATGTGCTCCTGCGATCAGAAAGGTCGAAGTGTACTTTCATTTGTTTATTGGTCCATGACGTCGCTGTGGGCCATCGTATTTCCTGTCACCGCCCGCTCCCCACTTTTGAGCTTGCAGGTTGCTTCTGGTGTCTTTTCAGATCTTCACATGAAGAACAATGGACAAGCTGTACAACATTTGAGTACCGCTGCTCTCTTCACTTCAGAATAAGCCCTGCGCTTACGATCTCCACCCCCTCCTCCCCATTCTCGCGGTCAACTACGACCCCCCCCCACCTCCCTTGGCGGTTATCAATGGCGTCTAATCCATTCAATGTTGCAGCGCTGCAGTTCAACTTTTGTCCATGGTCCTGTTACGAAACCCTGTGACGCAGACGGATAGAGGGCAGCGGCTGCGAAACGTGCAAAAAACGTATGGCGAGCCAGGAAACGGGATTTTTCAAGGGGAGGGGACTCCGGGGTGGGTGAGCTACTTATAGTCGGTGAAAAGCTGGAGTGAGCGAAGTCACAACGGCCAGAGTGCCATGCGGACGAGAGAGTGCAGAGAAAAAGAGAAGATCGACGCGTTCAAAGGGATTGAGTTCAAGTTGTCCGTAGACCCTGCAGTGCGTCGACTCCTCTCTCTCTCTCTCTCTCTCTCTCTCGTCAATTAGCTAGGAAATGTTGCGCCTTGAATGTCGTAAACGACACTCAAATCGGCTGACCCCAGTCCTTGTGTAGGCCCAGTTCAAGGGCTACACGATTCTGAATTCGGGAGTAGGCTGTCGGGCGTACAGCGGAATTGTGGAGAAGTTAGTTCTGTGTGTTCTCCTATCTTGCGAACCACCACTTGTTTACTATCTGCTTTTGGTACGATGTGATTCCTGGTCACAGAGAAGTTTCACCCGCGTATATTTGGGCTGCCTAGCCCCATGACAGATGACCAATTGCCAAAGGTCATACGCACATTATAGAGAGCGGACATGTGCATTTTCGATCGTAGGCGCAATAGCAACTTGCCACCGCTATCGATCAGTCGCCCCACAAAATAGCACAAACGATAAGAATGTTGAACGCTCATGTTTTAATTACCTGTGCTAATGTATTTGGGTGTGGGGGGTCGACCACCGGCTCGCGGCGAGTGATAATCTCATGGCTAACTTCACTCATCTACACTACTTTGAAACTCGAATTCTAGCAGGTCAATTATATGAAACAGCACAAGGTTCACGGAACTCTGGCTGAAGAAATCCACCGGGCAGCCTGAAAACGAAATGTTGTCCATTCTTTCTCTACCCGTGAACAGTAACATCCAACAACAAACAAGCACAGGATTTTGTAGTTGATTCAAAAAAATCTTCCAGTCCCATACAAGTGTCTTACGACTATTTAGACTCGTCACTGTTATAATATATAGCGTCCGGTTGATTATATCTATGTCCTAAACACAAAATTACTTCTATTTTGCCGAGGAGGGAGCAGAAGAGCAGATGAGTCATCGCACGCCGCGAGCCGCGTGGTCCCCCCCCAAATACGTTAGCACCTGAAATTATTTCTAGTAATGACAACATGGGCGGGTTAGCAGTCGGAAACGTATCGAGGGGGTGGGGGCTTTTTGGACACGTGAAAAATCAGCGAGTATTGATCGGCCAGTGATTTTTGGGAAGATCAGGCGAAGTCCATAATAAATTCGGGAACTGTCATGTAATAGTACTTGTGATAAAGTACTCAGACGACCATCACATTCCTTATGCAGTTAAATAAACCGATAAAGTCAGAGCGATTCATTTGTCGACTGTACAAATGTAACAAAAAAATAGGACATATGATTTCAAAACCATGCCATATGTATGATCAACAATGAAATGTTCAGTTCTTGCTAGCGTGATTTACACGAAGTTGTCGTCCGTTGAAATCGGCTCCATTAAAGCTGTTGACGGCATTCGCTGCTCCAGCCTCATCAGCAAACTCACAGAATCCGAATCCCTTAGCACGGCCGGTTTCGCGATCGTAGACAATTCTATACGTGCAACTCATAGATATCGATCGATTTGCTTCAGAAAAGAGAGATTGACTTACTTGACGTTTGTCACATTACCAGCTTGGCTGAAGTAATTTCCGATCTGTTCTTCGGTTGTTTGATAAGGAAGATTTCCTACTGGAATCAATGAGTTTGAAAAACAGCTAGGTTAACGGGAATAAAGGAACTTACCGTAGACGGAATGACGGCCAGCCATAATTTATCAGGAAGCGTACGAAAGCGAAAGACGACCAGCTACGACCCGTACGACACAGTAATGAAGAAATCAGTCCGTCCACAGCGGCTAGCACCGCCCATTTTGGCCGACAGCCATATTTTGCCCCAGCGATGCTCAGGCATGTCAGCTAACAGGCCTGATCGATTTCTCGGCGTAGTTACAGCGCAAGAGGAAATCAATACTGTTGTCCCTCAATGCTTTGAAGGTTTCCTTGATAAAAAGAAAAGACCAAGTGTGTTAAAGAAAATACTCCGAGTAGATCACCGGGCACGTGGGTAGTATTCGGCTTGGAGGGGGCATTTTGCACTTCCACTAACTCCTTTGCTAGTTCATGCTAATTAACAAGTCTCAATTTGGTCAGACCTGTGCACTTTTAAGAGGCTGTAAAATTTAACGAGTGAGTCATTGGTCACAAGAATTCACAGGTTTTTACAAGGTATCCTGTACAAACTCAGCTCGGTACCATTTAGTATCCCCACCAAGCCGAACTGCGCCGGATTATGTTTTTTTACTGCCTTCCTTTTTGGTTTTTTTACTGCCTTCGTTCCTACTTCAAACATTACAAGCCAATTAGAAGTAATTTCATACCTACAGATTTTTAGCCTGAGATTTTTGGTAATATTGCGCAATTGTGTATTTAACTCAAGAAAAAGAAAAAATCAACCCAATGCCATTTCCAAACCATCCCACGTGGTCAATTGAGGCAGTGAGGTCTACTGCACTTGTCAGCTCTTTCCCCACAACGAAAACGAATTTCCTTAACGGCCGGTGACTTGCATTCCGCACTGATTTTATGGGCGGAGACTTGACCTGTTGCGCCTTTCTCATGGTGCCCCTCTTTTTTCCTATCATCTCGAAAGGAGGACCAGTAAGAAGGAAGCGCGTATTCAAGCGATTCCGCGATACTATTGGCATGGAATATAATTTTGCCAACAAGGCTTATTTTTGCGCAGGATAATTTGCTGGACGATAGCGACGCAACAAACAATTGCAGATAAATATAATAAAATGTAGGTGAACCACAAGTGTAGTCCATTGATATAGACAATGGGGTTCACTGATCGAGACTGACTAAACTTAGATATCTGGCCGTGGCTTGCAATCGGGTCGCTGACGCTGCCGCGCGCGTCTGTACACGACGTACTCAATTCAACCCAAATACAAAACCGTTTGTTAGATTAATTTTACATCGACAAATCATCAACTGTGTTAAGTGTGCTCACAGAAGTGGCCACAATTCTATCCAGAAAATGGCGTCAGTGAAAGTCTGCAAAGAAAACAACCACTGCCTTGCGGGAAATAAATTATCCCAGATCATTTCAATAAAGGGTTGGTTCATGTCTTGTACCGATACGAGAAAAACTTGAGAGTTTGAACGAGTGGAAAATGGCTCCAAACAGCTGTTCATTGAATATCAATGTGAGCAGCCTGAAAGTGAAGGTGTAAGTTGGATGAACAACTAAGTGTTGGAAGCTCAACAACACTAATAAATCCCACCGAAATGCACCATGCCCGGCTTTTGTTCAAGATAGTGATGCCCTTCAAATATGGTGTTTCAAACTCAGTGTAACCCCCAACCCCCCCCCCCGACACGAATATCGTTAGATCATCTATGCTGCGAGAATTATAGTTAACTATGATAAAGAGTAATGCGTTCATAGTCGAATCGCTTTCGCTTTAGCCAAAACCGAATGCACATTAATACATTGCGGACCGCCGTACTGCGCATCTCCGGACCACTTTATCGTTTTTTATAAGTTTTTCATGAGTAATTTGCTCCCTTATTTGAGTCGCTTATGAGATATATCTTCCGTAACCCAGAATGTGTTTTCACAACACTGGGACATGGAAGGAGAGCCAAATTGATCAAATAAAACACCCATAGAGACAAATTTATGACACACCATGTGTGTCACGCGCCGGAACGTGTTAATGAACCTCTATGTTGGTTGACCAATTTAGGTAACTTCACTCAGAGGTTTTCTTTATTCCTTAGTTAGCACAAGGTCGCTAGCTTCTTTAGTCTGTTTAAACAAATCCCTCGATTGCCAAAATGGGATACTTCCCGTGTATGAGGTGGGCAGGCTCGCAGTTGCACACATTTCTCCCTCACACCGCTCGAAGGAAAAGAATGCGAGCGACAAAAAAAGCTGCTCTGTGTGATGTTACTGATG